TGCGAGCTGTCAGTTTTTGTTACGACCACACGGAAAATGAAGTTTGAAACTTGCCCACGTGGCTCGCAGACCGTTTGAATGCAACGGGCGCCAACGGCGACGGCGTTGTCAGGGTCATGCCAAGGACACTGATGCGTTCCCGTGGGGAATGCGTGTAAGCACATCTGCGTATATGTTAGTAAATCGACCAGGCGATTGAACCGAGGAAATGAGCGCACTTTGGCCCCATCGACAGACTAATCGCTTGTGACATGGTCGGCTATAAATGACTTGGACCAGAGCCTATCATGCTTAATCAAACACCACCACTGTTTACAGGTGTTCTGAAAAGGTCAGGTTAATGTGTGTCACGCGACCCAGCATGAGTACCGGCCCATCCGGCAGGTTAGAGTTGGGTTTCAGTCTATACGGCTCTTCTCCATTGACATGTATGATAATACAGGTTTCCAAAAACATTGACAAAGTTTCTAAAATGTGCGTTTATATGTGCCGTGGTAAAGTAATTATCGTGTACACTACCGGCTATACCAAAGGTAAATCTGTAACCAGACTTTCGGCAGGGGGTACAAAAAAATTAGGAATTTCTTTACGCCACTTTCTATGCTCTCTCTCTCTCTCTCTGAGGGTTGTGGCTAATTCACGTAGGGTTTTTACACGCTTCGGGAAACACAGAAATGAAAATACACCTTCTCAATCACTTTTTGCTCTACATTTTAAAACCAGAAAGTTGCCCCTTTTCAGGGGGAGGGGACTTCCCCCCTGGCCCCTCCGCTGACCCACCCGTGTCTGACAGGATGAAGGGTACACTATATGACTTTCTTTTATAGCTTTGGCTTTCAAGGTTTTTTTGGCCACGTATTTAATTGAAGAAGTCGGGCGCAAGACGTATACCCTCGCAATGTATAGTCCCTAGAAACTTCGACTCGACTCGTGGTTTGGTGTTGCAGTGAGAAACCGTTGCCGTCCATAAGAGGGATCGGGAATCATGACGACCGCGGCGTCACCATAGGAACAGATTGTCTCCCTATCTGGCATCCCACATACTGATTGATTGTTGCATGTCTTTGTCATAATGCGTCATTTGTCCGTCCGACGGCGGTCTCATGTGCATGTAATAACAGGTCGGGTTTCGACTACCGTACTTAATATAGATGCGGTTTAAAACGCTCACCGTCTGTGGGGGCAGGTATGTACATGTATTATATACAAATGCCTGATCAAGGCCTTCAATTTAGAATAAGGTTGAAAGAAGGGTTCCGGGAACGTGCAAATGAATGAGATTGATATAGACACAATCCTTAAACAGAAGAGCTTGGACTTTTCCGAGGCGGGTTTTGCCTCCTTTGGGTCTAAGATGCATACAGAGGGAATTTTTCTCTCTTTTTTTTGGGGGGGGGTGCAAGTCAACGCGGGCAACATCTGCAAAATTTCATTCAAATCGAGCAAGGGAGATGGTTGTTATTGTCATAACACAATTCGCACAATGCTTGGCAATTGGTGAAACTTTGTCAATAGGAAAGACAACAAATTCCTCGAGAATGGTATGCTCGATTTCGTATACTTTGCAATTATGCGGAATTATACGGCTGCTTCGACAGCAAACGTCACGACGGAAATCACATACCTTTGTATATAACAAATATGACTTCCAGGGTGGTGTCATAGAAAATGTCTTTGGGAGGAACCTGCCTCAGATTTCGTTTTCTTCTTCTTCTTTGGTTAAAGGTTTACTGATGACCCATGACATTCTTTTTACTAGGAGCGCGATACGATCAAGTTGAACGTTAAGTGCCCTAGATAGGACTGGCTTAATAAGTGAAAACATGAGCGAAGGCTTTCGAATGTTTCACAAGGACAAGTATAAAGGAGTCACGTTTTGCTTCCGCGCTAACGGCAGTAAAGTGTCTTTAATTCTAACGACCGTGGCAGCGCGACGCAGAGCGTGCCCGACCCGACGGCAGATTTCGTCGGGACCGGGGCACAATACGAATTCAAAGATGTGAACGAAGAACTGATTAGTCAGTGGAGGTCTGTCTGGAAATTGGTTATCTGTCTGTAAAACGGCATCATTGCCCGGGGAACTGAAGTGTGGCGCATTATAACATCAGTGAGATGACTTCCAATTAACTCTAATTTGGCGCGTGGAATGTGGTATTTGCCCTCCATTCATCAGTGGCCGTCATCGTTGCGACTAGCTGTCACCGTGTCTGTCTTATTTTGTCATCGTCTCGGGTCATTTTGTCCGCAATATAGATTTCAACGCAGATTTTGAACATGCCATTCTCAATCGAGCGCTTCTCAGAACACGTCCGACATTTCTCCCGATTGAAAGTCGCACGGTAGAATTGTAACATAAGTCAAATTTAATTACACTTCCAAAAAAAAAAGATATATTTTGTAGGAAGGCAGATCCAGACCAAAATTACAGCTCCTTCCCTTCCTTCCAACCCAATCCACCATTGGTTACATATCTCCCATTCCTTGCCCTTCCGTAAACTTGTACACGGCGCGTTAGGTCTCTGTGCGGGGTTGTATATGGTCATTTCGTTCGCCTCATTCAGGAGTCAGACGTATAGCATTGAAAGTCGGTCACCCAGAATTGATCCAAATATTGTTAACGACTTAAGATAAGTCGGAAGGAAGATAATGCAATAGAGGCAAGTCATATATTAACCTCATTGAGCTCCAATGGGTAATTCTTGATCATGGACGTCCCCTGACAGTTTTTAACGAGAATGAGATTGGTTCGGAAAGTAATACGTACACCACGTAACCATGACAAATTTAGCCAGATATATTCCCATTTCAAATACGGATATAATTGTTAACAGATGGAGGTATGATCTGACATAGCCTTCTCTTACCAAAAAAAATGCCGATTTTGCGTAGGTCGAAATGTCATCAACAGCCGTGTATTCCACGGAACTTCTTCGAACTCACGTCATTAGGCCCTATTATTTTGCTGAGAGCGGCATTTTGAAAATAAAAAAAAAAAGAATGCTGACGCATGCGAAACAGGGTTGGCAATATTGGTTGTATAAGTGCAAAGTCTGGGACGGTGAAAAATGTCTCCAAAACGCAAAGCCAGGATGTTAAAATAAGACGATAAAAGTATTGAATAACGTGCTCCAAAAGTATCCCCAAATCGACTTGTCTTGTCGTCTGCTGTCTTCATAGTATAGTGTTGAATCGGGCAAAACACACAGGAAAACGGCACAAACCGGCAAAAGCATCTGGGTACGATTACTAAAGATGTACCGTAGCAAAGCATAGAATTCTGCGTATCGTCTAGTCGAGTCATGTCCGTCCGTTATAATACATTTGGAGTTGCGTGGTTGTCATTATTAAACGACACGATCCATCAAAGTGACAACTGGACTTTTGGTTCACTTCATGGACAGGTTAATTGTAGCCCCTGCCTTGTATTGATTGTCCATTATCTTACAATTACGCCCGTTTCTGGACTACCGATTTTTTTTCCCAGCGTCGGAGCCGTACTTTTTAACGAGGGGAAAAAGTGCAGTGAGCCTCCTCGTCCGGCAGAACTTGGCTGGCCATTAGTGTCGCGGCTTTGATGGTATATAAGCAATCACTGTGCAAATTCAATTTGCAATTTTGGAACTGCGCATAAACTGGGAAGATCCACATGGATTTCCAATTCCCTTCAATTACAAGGGCTTGTTTATAGTTCTTTGGGCTGTGAGAGCCCTTCAGTGTCGCACCGTCGTCAGATCAGCCCGTTTGCGCGCTGCGGATGAATCTGGCCCGGGCGTTTAACAAGCGGAGTCCAAACGAGAGTAATGGTGCGCGGCCAAGCGCTTGCTATTTTCAGAGACAGCGCGCAGGAATAGGCTAAGTGACTAGACTGCCACTGGCGATACTACAGGTTTTCCTTAATAACTGCTCCGGGCCGGCATGTAACGCCAACCGGCGCATCACCAGTCTTTCTAGGGTATACGCATGAAGGAATACACAAGCGTGCACGGGTCGCTACGGCCAACACGGGAGACAGTTTAATTCGCCACATTAGTACTTCAGATTTCATTAGGCACTTGCTATGTCGAGAGTGTGGTGTGCTCTGGCCTGCCCAATATATTGACCCGTCTTGCATTACCGATCCGGAGAATCTGATTAAACGGAAGAGGGAGGAACTGACAAAAACTGCTTCGGGCGCGCTTCTACATCGCGCTGCTGCATCTATGGACTGCATGACCATCGTTCAATTCTAGACCTGCTCAAAGTATATCTCATCTCATCCCAAACTCAGTATACAATGCAAAAGATGGATTAAAAGAAATTAGGATATCTTCCCCGGCGGGTGGGGGACAATGGAGACACAGATCCCCTGTCCCCAAAGGAGTTTTTTGTTTTGGGGTTTAAAAAAATGAAGAAAAAAAAACCGACTTCGGGTGGGTTTGTTTCCCTTCCAACAGCGTGTAAAAAGTACCATAATTTAGCCTCATCACCTCTCGGCAGGGACGGTTATATCAAGAAATTACATAATTTGTTGGTCCTCAAAAAACACTTTGAAACCCCCCCCTGCGTTTGGATCCGCCCTTGGAAAGTGTATGCTTGGATATTAAACGATAAAGACTTAAGGGCAATTAGTTTCTTTTTATCGTGCAACGGTCGTTCGTGAAAGGGTAAAGTGGCGACGCGACTAGGCCTATACCTCTTTTACAAGTCGTTTTTTTGTTCACAGTTGGATAAACATCAAATAATATGCTCTTGGGACATTATCGAATGTTGTTCAAGTCTCACTCGAATGAACAACACCTGCGGTAACTACATGTACACGCCAACTGTCTGCTAAAACAACATTGGCTGGCGTTTCTTAATAACCCTTTTTAAAGTGCATCACTTTCGAAACGGTTAACCTCTCACGGGCACGGTAAGCGAAAGTGACATTACGTTTCACCCTAATGGCTCCTCCGAGAGGGACGCCAGACCCTCAGTCGAGTCGAGCCCCGTGAACAGGGATGCGTGACCGCAGAAACTGTGACTTTCTGGAGTCACATGGCAAAAACGCTGTACCGGAAAGACAAGAAAAAACGTCAATCCGTTCCGGTCTCCACTGTATATGTGCATCACCGTGGAATAAACATAAGCGGCAAACTGACAAACCAATCAATGGTCAGTATGAAGATATTTTCACGTCACGTGGTGGTTTTCACCACTCCTTCTTTCTTGTTTCTTTCCCAGTGTTTCCCTACCCCCTATTTTTCTTGAGGAGCTGGCATCCCTGTCCCTCCCTCCGCGTCACTACATCCCGGCCTTCGTAGAAATCTACTCTGTGGTGTAACTCAAATAACTGCGACCAGTTCTGTTTCGATAGGAATCCGATTTGAAGCTAATACTAATATCAGGTTTGCTGTTCATTGATATGTATATTCAGAGTGACATGACCGTACAACAGAGTAATGAATGCCTCTGATACATTCTCACGCCGACATCGTCCGAAGCACCCAGCTCCCGGTAGTTGTCAGTACATGTGTGTTTGCTTGGCTGTCTCGAACACTGAAGTGTAAAAACCTCATTTCCCCTTTCTGTCGAAATATAAACAATCTCGCGTCTGTCTTCTTCTTTCTGCCCCACTTTGTCAAAGGTAGTCGGCCGTTCTAGAAACTGCCGAACGAGCCGTTCGCCCCTAAGTGTGGAAAGTGGGCGACAGCCGGTTTGCTTGTTTTTGTTTTTAAATTGAATTTGTCTTCAGTGGCTAGGGTTTTTTTCTTCAAACCTCCCAACCCCTCTGAGAGGTCGTCTTCAAACCGACGGGAATGGGTTGACCTGATGAGGTGTTATCAGCATTTTAGCTTCTAATTGGAAAGGTATATGTACATCATATCAAGAAACACTGTAAAAATGTTTCGTGAATGAACACCAAATTCTAAACACTTTTTCGCCACTTGTTTGGAGACGTTCGAAAGTGACTGTTTATAGTAATATAAAGATATATTTATTATTACACTGAAGGGGTAAGTGTCCAATGCATATCGTGGCATTATTCAATTACGCAGTCCGCTTAAACATTTATTATAGCCAAAGTCAGTGGTTTCAGGTTTTCATTATTTTTTTTAATGTGCGTGGGAGTGTCAAATAAAAACTTTAAAAAGAAATCACCCAGTAATGAAGTAATTCGTTAATTATGCATTTAATTAATTGTGCATCCTGTTCTTTCTAGTGGACGAGTTGCTAAAATGCAAGGCCACATGTGGATTACAAGCAACTGGAAATCTGCGCCATATCAAGCAGCTGTTCAATCAAGCTTCTCAAAACAAAGGGCTCGGGCGTTTATTCCTTCAGCAGCAAAAACTGCTATATTTGCTTCATAGGGTCAGAACCACACGAAAGGTATTTCCTGTTCTTAGTAAATGTTGTACCCGTCAAAAAAGGTTAATTCCTACAAGCTGCTTTTGTACGGGATATTTGTTTTCCCCGTCGAAAGGGTTGTACCTAAATGATCAGAGGGCTCGTTGATGTCGTGGCTTGATCTATTGATAAGGGTGAATTAATTATTTACGTCCACCGCGGCTCGCTTGCCGCGTCGACGTCAGCCTCCAGTATTTAATGGACTTTCACGCTTCCGTAACACCGTGACAGACAAAAAACTGACGTCGGAAACAGGACAGATCAAATGTATGTCTTTTTTCACGGTGGGTGGGGTGGGGAGTATTTCGGATAAAAACGTGGGATGACATTTGGGATTATGCCTCGGGCAATCCTCCCCTTCTCGCACTCCTTGTGTTTTGTTTGAAGCGGCACTCGGCGCTGTTTTCGTATTTTGGGGCCGGCGAATGCAGACGGATCGAGATACTAAACCGCACTCCCCTTTGCTCGGCAAGATGCGCGCACTTTGCGCCCAGGGTTATTGTGTCTACAAATTGCAACGCGGTTCTTTTAATAACACGCACAGTGTACGCGCGGCTGTGTCTGAATTCATCGTTTTCCCCCTCAACGTGTAGTCGGCCCGATGAAAATGTCTGAGGACACCATCAAGAAATGTCATTAGAATCATTATAATAAAGCAGTTCTTAATTGGATCCCCAGAACACCTGTGCCTGCACTTTCACCGTCTAACTTTGTGATAACGTGTTATTATAGTCACACCCTTTTATTGCGCTTGTCATTGCTTTGCGATGGTTCTTTTCAAAACGTAAGCAGTTGTAAGCACTTTGATTCTAGGTGTTCTATAGATGCGCTATCATCTAACGAATCACGTAAAAACACAGTTTATATTTTTCTGGTAATCGTTTTTTAGTAATCGACCATGCAAACTGTTTCCATACCTTTAATACTGCCTAGTTGGTGAAAGCATACGACTCATTAAGCACAGACACTTGATTCCACAATTAGTTACACACCAACGAAACCCCATTGCGAGATATCACCGTCCGTATATGATGATCGGTAAAATATTTACGTAACAATAATTGGCGTCAGCTTAGTTTGTTCTAGTGTACCTTTCCGGCAAAAGCATTAGATCTGATCGGAGTTGCTTGTTTACGTGTAGCTGTATGCCTACTCTCCCATTAACTGTACTGACAAATTAGCCTGTTTGTCACGACAGATGTTCAGGTGCTCGACTGACAGTCGTCGCACCAAGGGTAAACCGTGAGCTTTTGCCGACCGTTAATGTTTAAATCTTGTCTTCTTTCAGGCCAGCGGGCATGATGCGGCGGCTTGGATGATGAGTGCCCTCGGTATTAACCGGTATTGCACCGTCAAGGCCAATTTCCATCGGATTGAGGAGCCAACTTTTGTTTGTCCGAGTGACATTCTGTGCGTGTGGTTGATTCCTCATCTTCAGGAACGACAAAACGGTGATGACGTGTTAGTACGAGCAGGATAAGGCCTAAAAGCTGTCGCCTTGAAGTAAATTTACGGCGCTGGGGACCTGGCCGGGGGTCTCTTCAAATTTTCTGAGAGGTTGTGCTGCTGAATATAAAGAGGGTGCTTTTTTCCTTCTGTGGAGAGTTTCCAGTGCAAAGCATTATTAGCAATTATATTACTCTTTTTAAACCTTGCTTTCATAGTTCGTACAGCCCATCAGAGTGTAATTATCTCGTCTTCCTGTGTTCCAATGGGAGATAGTTTTACATAGCTAGCTGTATGATCCACGGCTCTGACGTGTCACACGAGCTATCGTTTTGGTGATTGATACGCCCACGGCGCAGCATGGAGCACGGGGGACATATCTGCCACTTGCCTTGCGGGAAATTAAACACGGAGAGCCCACATCCAGCACGAGAACCACATGCGATGTACGCTCAAGTAGAGCTAGCTGCGCGCAATTCCTCAGTGAACGTTGTCGCGAACAACGTTATACATGTATACATTAAACTTCACCACCATTTCATCCCAGTGGACAGCAAAAGTCGTCAGTTACAGTTCAACGGTCTTAAACTAGGTAAATTTGGAACAATTGTCTCTCGATGACAGACACTTTATTATACAGAATTGCACCCAACGACATTACCAATACCAAGGCAAAGGTCTTGAGTCAAAAGCAAAAGCGAGATGGAATATCATTATTGTTTTTGTGCCTCTTCACTGGCGCAGTATGATACTCCAAGCTGCATTTGTACTCCCAGTTACATCGCAACTTAGCGGTTTGCTAAGTGTCTAATGAGAAAACAAAATGCCAGAATATTAAAAACAGGCCGACTAGAGAGAGCAGTAAGCGGGGAATAGGGTGGGGGAAGCGGGAGAATCGATGCAGTGCGGAGCACGACATTGCGCACATGTGAAATGGTTTCTCCAGGCTAAGGGACTTTAACATAATCTCATCGATGTCGATTCATAATTTGCAGATTGCAATCCCCAAACATCTGCCTTGAGATAGGCTTGGATAAGAAATAATAGTTAATTGAAGAATCTGAAATCATTGGCGACTATCACTTCTACAATTCGCGATATTGTCAGCAGGTTTCTACGTTTCTAATTCGCAATGCCCTCGGTTGTCATTTGCCAAGGAGCTGCGCAAGTGGTAGTTCAGCTGGAGTTGCAACTCATATGGCGACACCAGACGGACCGTGTTAAGAACAGGGCAACGTTTTAAACCATGAATCAACAAATAGCAGAGATATTGTGTGTGGAGATATGATAAAATAACGTAAATGACACCCATTTAAATAGGATACCCCCATCTACCTACTTTAATAGATTACGGCTACAGATGATCGCAAAGGCCGAGATAGGGATTTAAGTGGGCCAGCCACCCTTGACAGCCTCGTCTGCGAAATATCACCACGTCTACAGACAGGTCGTCGACGGCCTGCCAATTTGGGCCTTAAAAGGGTTCGCCGCTTCTGTGTACTCCTTGAAAATTGCACAACCTCCCTGCTGAAGATTCCAGACCATCTCAGAATTTTTATCAGGAACAAAATACGGTCTGTCGTCTTCTCGAGAGCCTTACCTGTTGAGCCAAACAGCCGGGATGAGAGCGTCTGCTGTGCCAAGCAAGGTGTGCACCTTTCATGTATAGTTTTACAGTAATTGATTTACGGCGGGCTTCGCTTCACGTCAGCTCTGATGACCTGAACTTGCCACGTGCTGACGCTTCAGTCTTTGCTTTTTGTTCGCGCCTTATGTTTGTTTGTTTTTTTCACCAAACAGTCACATTGACGTGTCATGCGTCCCACTTTTTCCGGAAGAGCTCTTCTCGACAGAGCTCGGCTGGAGATAAGTTGCCATGCTGGACTGTGGACGTCGGTCGTGCAAAAAATTGGTGGTGGACGCTCCGGGCTTCTCCGCTTTGACGCAGCCGACGTTCCGCGTTTCTCCGAGGCAGGGTAAGCAGGGCAAGAGCCGGTGGAACTCCTTCCGGAAGTTATCGTTGAGCCACGCATACAACATGGGGTTCAGCCAAGTGCTGGATATCGCTAAAAAGTAAAAGACCACAAAGACGATGGGATCGAGGAGATCGGTCCCCAAGTTGAGTTCCCCCAGCACAGCATACACACAGAAGGGAAACCAGCAGATGGCAAACACCGCCACCACCGCCGAGAGCATCCGGTTTGTTCGTCGCCGCCTCTGGTTTTCCTGTGGGTCATTCTCCCGCCTCCTAGCTCCCGGCTTAACGTTTCTCTTGAGCTTAATGGCTATGCTCATGTGTGCTGCAGTCACCAAGAGTAAGGGGAAGATGAACTCCAGAAGGAAGATCACGATGCTATACCTCTTGCGATCGTCCACGTCCGGCCAATTCTCCATACAGTAAATGCCGGTATAGGAGCCGTTTGGGAGATATGAAAAGTCAATCACGTCGGCATGCACACCGATGGGTAAGGTCATGCCGATCGAAGCTATCCATATGACCACGATGGAGATGATACACGTCGATCGGGTGATCGGCCGAATGAACGGGTAGACAACCAGGCAGAAGCGGTCTATCGCGACTGCGGTGAATGTCAGGGAGGACACGAACACCATGCAGCCGGTGATCATGCTGAAAACGCGGCACAGCACCAAGCCCAGTAGCCATTCTGGAATCAGGATAGAGCTGAGCATCAACGGGGCCCCGAAACTGCACAGCACCAGGTCGGACAGGGCCAGGTTGCCGATGAAGAGATTGATCACAGTGCGCATTTTGGGCCGTTGAATCAGCACAACACAGATCATGCCGTTTCCGCAGATGCCTAGCAGGCAGGTGACGGAAAAGCAGAGAATGACTATTGCCCTACCTTCAGCCCCGTGAAGAGGGTTGTATTCCCCGTAATCCGACCAGCTTCGGTCTGCAATTTCGTCGTTCGTGCTGTCGTTGTCCATGGTGGCTGGGTGGTCCGTACCGATCTAATACTGGACGGCACAGTTATCGTACCGTTATACAGTTGCGTGTGTGTGGGTTTCGGTGCACTTTGGTGTCCATCCATCTACGGCAGTCGGCTGAGTCAGTGCTCCGTCTGGGTCTTATACCCCGCCAGTGAAGCCATCACTGAACTCTGACGACAGTGCGTTTCTGGTGACTCGCTGGGTATTTGTAAACTTTCGTGTGACGGGAAGTTGGCCAGGCCAGATCATGACCAGATTCAGCAGCTTGGCTGATCGATAAAGGTGCCTGGGGCCTGTCACGGCCGTCTTGTCTCTCGCACGTCAATGGGCAACCACTGCGAATAAACAAAGAGACCGCGAGAGACGAGCCTGTTTCACTCTCCTCCAATAAAATTCTAGTCTCTCGTGCTAAACTCTGTTATGGACGGTGGCCCATTCGGCATGGCAGGTCCAACTTCGAGAGAGACCTCGAAACAACACAACATCGTCAAGGTGCACGTTATGTTGCGATGACTCCGTCGATCCCAATGAAGCCACCGCGCATGCTAATTGAGATCTTGACTCGGCCTGTCTGTGTACGCGAGACTCGGACCCAGCAGCACACCGCATACAGCAGCCAGACCGCCTAATGACTGGGCGGGGTAAACAAAATGAACTCGCCGGCAGTTCCCCCGTACCGACGGCGCGATATCAGGCGTCACGTGCTGGCAACGCGCACAAGGCTGGCCGACGTCCTGATTGGTTCGTCCGTGGCCAGTGTGTGATGATGAATTTGCATAAGGAGAGTATTCAAGCTTCAGTGTAGTCTTATGCATACCATACCACTGGTGAATCACACGAACAACGGTCAATTTGACAGACGCGTCTGGGGGTTGCATATTGCTCTATAGCAGTCACATTACTGCAAGGACTGGGATATTGACGAAGGGGATTTCGAAAGCTGTCTTCATTTTCGTCTTATGCGCTCGAGGGTTTAATGTCCATCCATTACTTGTATAAATGTAAAAAGAAAATCTGTAAATCACTAAATAACCCCTAAGCTAGCTTTTGACCAAGTAGAAAGGGGATTTTATTTGCACAAATGCTTTTCACAAGTGTGTATTTAAAAGCCTGGGTTGTCCGCTCAGTTGATGTCAATTCACTTGACAGGTTCTTTTGAAAATCTGACAAAAAATACACGGGAATCTTCCTCCTCTAACAAAGCAGCGGGAATTTCGCGCATGCGATCGACGATTCTGGAAATGGAGTCAACTTGCAGGATTTGAAGACGGCGGCAGCCAAACATTTACCTTGGATACCTCAAGGACGCAATCCAATGCTGGTGCTTCAGAAATCAAGCTGCGGCCAGCACAGGTCACCAATAGAGGTAGACCCGCCAGTTTTTAGATCCCCCCACACACACAATGCAAGGGGAATGTATTCATTTCCCACACGTGTAACAAAGTTCTGGAAGATTTTATGGTTGTCAGGTTGCACAAACGCCATTAACAATCACAGATCTGCTCGCCCGTTGGGAACGGTTTCTCTTGCAAAACAAAATAAACTAAAAAGTACAAAATCAGAATCGCCAGCAGATTTCCACTTGATACCAACTGCACGGAACACCAGAGGGAACCCAAAGAATTAAGCTTAGACAATACAGCTGTACACGAGTAAAAGGGCAGGAAAAGAGTGTCATTATCCTCTGACATGGACTGTATTTATACTTCAATCATTTCAAGATGAAATCTTGAGACGCGTAACTAGTTTGTATGATGTTTCCCTTTGCAAAAGAGGCTTTGGCAAGTATAGCAAATGAATGAAAATATCCATAAAAATGGACGTCGAGTATGAAGACGAGAATAACCCCCTCAAACTCACTGCAAATGAAAGTGTCTTTTGAAAGACTCGTATTAAGCACATTACAAACTACCTGTTTTAGGAACTGCTATTGTATCGAACAATTAATTGTGTTAGTAAACTTTTTGTACCCCTTCAGTTGAGTTTGACAAAGAGTATGGCATCAAAGCTACTACATGTAGTTCGCATCTTCGAGAACTGACAGAAGATCGTTGAACATCCTAGACAGGGACCCGCAAAAGGGGCAATCGTAGAGCAGAAGATAGCGACTATGGAAAAACAATTTGCTTTGTACACTTATTCTACCAGAAAACCCACTATTCAAACTGAAAATGAGTGTTATTTCCATTGCAAGTTACACCTCCAGTACAGCAGCATATGTTCCCTTGGTCTCGCAACGAGGCGTACAAACAGATCGATTCATAACAAATGGAGAAAATTCAGAACTACTATACGCTCTTCGTTTGTAAAGTATACATGGCCTTCAAATTGGAGCTTGAAGTAGCAAACACTTTTTTTTTGATCTAGTTATTCTTTTGCGCATGTTTACATGACTGTACCTTCTACATGTACAAATCACGACCAAATGTCGGAGGAAATGTTAACCTTTGCTATGTTTACGCATCAATTACCCTAGTAACTGTCCAGGCTGGCGACTACCGCCACTCCAGTACCCGCCGATCAGAAATTCAAGGGGCACAATCTTCGCCATCTCGCCGGAAAACTGAGATGGTCTAGGCAACTCCCCCCCCCCTCCGCGTTAGCAACGTCCGTTCTATTTAAATGTCAAACCTGTGCGAAAGCTTTGGGAGATTCTTGGTCAGCGAATGCAAAGCTTTGAGGGGTGATACGTCATTGCCGAATGCAAAGCTTTGTGGCCTGTTTGCCGTGTCGAGTGCCACCGTTGCAGACGGAGGCGCGAGGCGCCCTCCCGCCACAAAAACAAAACAAAACAAAACAAAACAAAACAAAAACACAATGGTCGTCCAATGAAAGAATTCATTCAGCTGACTTAAAGTGTCCTTCTGAAGTTATTCAGACCTTTAGAAATCTACTTTTGCAAAGGTATAACTCCAACACTTACGTAAGGAACAGCAAGCAGTGCAGATTATTGTACTAGACTTCGAAAAAATCGCTTTTAAAGGTTTGCGCGTTTTCAGTTGAAAATTTTTATCGGGTAACTTTCACATTTGTGGGTAAAATGTTGCGGGTTACCTGCATAGAATGTGCTCTAAAATATATCTGTGCTTTTGATTCGTAAATTTAATTTAAGTGAAGATGATTAAATTTTAATAAGTTTTTCATTTTTTTATTTGTGTGTGTGCGTGTGTGCGCAATATTATAATGTAGTTTGTTAGGGATTTACGAACTGACGCGTGTATTATTTTGTGACTTCGTAAAACTACTATGATACTGTTGACATTATAATCTAAATAATCCAAATGGTATATTCTACCAGCTGACGCTGTATGTGAACATTCAGCCTGATGGTTTCATGCGCATCTTGTTTGAAAGCCACCATTAGCGTCCATCATCGAAAATACTGCATGGTGAAAAAAACCAAACTGTATTGCCTAAATATGATGAAATCCCTTACCACAGCATGCATAAACTGACATCACAACCAACAGAGACTAAATAATTATCATCTCTCCGTCACTTTTATTTACTCCAGTAGAACATTATGTTGTATAATTAAAAGTAATTGTTTGTAACAGTGGAATTTTAAATGTGCAAATCAATTTGTGTTTCGTTTTCTCCTCTCACTGCACCACCAAGGATGTTTGGTTATCAATTTAAACAAATGAAATGTCAAATCGATATGATCATCTTTAATTCATAAAAGAGACTTTGAGTTTCGACGAGCGTCAAACTGTTTAAACAATAGAACGCCATTACTGGTAACAAGTTCATCGATAAAGAAAGGCCTCTAGATAGTCATCATCATCGCTGTGTAGCTGGGCCTGAGCTACACCAAACATAATGGCCTTTAGCCATAAGCCATAAAGCAAGCCTAAAAGGTTAATGATTCATGCTGTTTGTGTAAAACGAAAATTACAGTTCATTGCATGGAGAAATTACCCTTTGAATTAGTATCGACAAACAAAGGTTCATCCTCTGTTTCCACGTCCAGCGACATTACAGCTTCTGCAAACAAATTGCGTAAAGCAATTTGTTACTGTGGGAAAACTGAATTTTATACTTGCTTTAATACAAGCACAGTTGTGCATGAAGTGTGGTTAAGTTGCTTGACAGCTTGATTTTATGGAGAAGACATTCAAGGACATTCCGTTTTGTTGGTGCTTCTTGGTTTCTGGACCAAAGTTTTAATTCATATTTAAAATAGACATAAGAAGGATAGAGATGCTCAGATTTGTGATGAAGTATTTATTTACTGAAATAATGATTTTGGAACACATGGCAAAATAGCAAAAAGATTATAAATGAATCCGTATGCCTTACAAAGGAATGCATAAAAAATACCTGGTGAAATCTATCCAGTCTTAGGGCTGATACCTCGACTGTTCCCCGGTAAAGTGCTTTTCAGACCATCTACATTACATGCACATTTACCGCTGATTTAATATAAGAAACAAATTAATGAGGGGTCATGCAACAAATTTAAAGGATGAATTGGTTTCATGTCGTCAGCAGCGTACGCACCCTTTGAAAAGGCAACTCGCTGTTTGCATGCCATTCCAAATTTCATGGGGGTCGCATCTATGTTCCCCCATGCAACCCCAATATTTGTCCCTAATTTCCAGGATGGCCATTCACTTTGAAAGGGGTTCGGCTTTGTGGTAAGGCTAGCAACTTTTCATCAGGTTTGAAGTCAGACTTAAGGTTGCCACAAGGACCAAAATTTGTAGATTCTGTTACCACAGCATAATGTTATGAAACAGGACTATGAATACCAATAAAGGTCGATTTTAAAATAAAATTACAAAACTCTCGCAACACTTTACAGATTTCGGATAACCATTCCAGCTAAGTGGTTATCTGCTTTCCTGCTATCAGAATGCTGGAAAAGCAAATTTTACAACTTTGTAACATGCAAGTACCGGAGTATCGTTTTGTTGTAATGCACTTTTATACTTTTCAGCTACCAGAAAAAAACAGATGTTGGTTTTCTTCTGTTCGTTAGCGGCCGAAAAGTCCTACTCAGTAAAGTGTCGATTATTTTAAAGAATGTACAGTTTGGACATTCTTCAAAACTAAAAGATTAAACTTGACTTGATAGACCAAGAAAAAGCACTTGTGGCATTAAATTACAACGTCAAACACGGCGAGAAATGCTCTCAAAAATGAAGTAGACTAGTAAGATTTGAAGCTTTGCATTGTGGAAGAGACATGAGATAAGCTGGACATCCCCCTGAACCCAAGGTTTCCCGCCAATTCCAGGATCCAACGCCTTCAAGCAACAGCGCACACGCTGAGTCACACAACCCGCGAATCCCTTTCCGCTCCTGAGGACGGCCAGAGCACACTGGCCGAAACGTCGAGTTAACACTCACCGGTTCTTTTTAGAACCACACCTCGCCAAAAACAGATTGATTCAGTGGTGTACCCGCAAACCCATTTCTCATATTGTTTTTGACGGTCAATACGGTTAATTTGTAGATTTGACTTGTTAACATTTTCTGTTGAGACTAGCCATTTTCAATTTATTTTTATGGGTAATTCCAGAAATTAGGGGTCCAAAAGTGTGAAATTGTCGTGTCCCTGTTACATCTGACCTTTGTTATTTGACATGGAAATATCACTAGAATTGATTTCCAACTATTACTGTTTGTTTGGCAGGTACT